GGTATACTCATCTGTCCTAAGTTCGAGGCATATGCGACTTTTATAACAAAAGTTGCTTATTTTCATCTGCTCTTGTTTAAAGTTGCTGAGAATTAAAGATATTAAGCCAAATAAAATAAAAAAATGTCTTCTCCTTATATAAATCCATTAGTCTTCAACTATCAGTAAATATGAGTCGTCCATGTCACATCATCAAAGGATGATATGATGCAGGATCAGCCATTGGTATCCCTAAAATTTATAGTAAATTAGCAACGAAAAATTGGAATTATAAGTGCACTTTGTTTGTCTAGAAGAAAAGAGCTTAACACTCACATGTATATACGCAGTATCTACTAATAGATAACCCTCCTAATGCAAATATATAAGAAGTTTATATGCAATTTTCAAATTCTATAAACTAACTCAAAAGCTCTAATTGTATTAGTATATAATTTTTTTATATTTTTCTTAATAAACCCTAATTATTTTCTTTAATATGTTAGAATGATATTTACTTTATCAGACAAAATTTATAGCTCTTATTTATACTAATGAAACTATGTATAGAAAATAGAGAAAAACTCAATTGCTTTCAACAAAATTGATATTTTATATTAGACAAAAATACAGATTATCTAAAGAGTTATTTATTTATATACATATTTATATACCCCTCTATTGCACTTTTGACGTTAAACTATGAGACTTTATACCTAATTTTTTTTGCTTGATCCAAGTCAAAATTCTGGATTCATCTGATATGAATTATTTTGGGAATAAGTAATAATGTGGGTCCCAATCAAAACTTTTTATCAATCATTTAATTATTGTCATTATTTAATTATAATCATAATAAATTAATAATTATAATGGTAATAATTTACAAGGAACTTAGTACGATAATGTCCGATATAATGCCTAGAATAAGTACTAGCAAAAACCAACTATAATAAAAATATATTATGGTATTTACGAACCAGGTTCATGGGATGTTAGAATTGGCTCATCAACACAGAAAAGGTGGCAATCAAAATTTTCTGCTTGGCAGTCTACGTTGCAATAACTCCGCTGATGCCCCTTAATGTAGAATATTTTATCACGCACACGCGGATGCAGCGGTGTCACAAGACAGCTGCTACTGGTATCTCCGTTTATACCCTCCTTATCGATGCTAGCCTCAGCTGACCACCTGATTTCGAGTATCTCGGGTCCGCCTGTGAATTCCAGCGCGTCCATAATCACCGTCTGCTCTGCTATTTCAATTTTATTTTCGCCTATCACTCTATATCGAAAATTATAATTCTTCAGTCTAGTAGTAGCAGGATCCATGACGCTGACAACTCCGTTCCCACTTTCTATTTCAGGCAGGCTATCCGGCGTGCGCACTCGATAGCTCTGTTGCAAATCGATAAATCTTTTACCTTGGTCTGCAAGACCTATTTGCAGAAAGATAGTTCCATCAATCTGGGCACCTTCGTAGCCTTCAACAGAATTTTCTGCTTGCATTCTAAGCGTAGCCTTGAGACGGCCATGACCAAGCACATCAAAGTAAAAATTAACTACGAGTGGCTGCTTTAATCCACCAGCCAGTGAATATAGATCCAAAATATCTAAGTTTTTATTAAGCCAGTTAGATAAGCTAGTCTGACTAGTTGATTTGCAGTTTGCCGCTAGCAAAGAGTTCAATAAGTAAAATATAGGTTGCAGCAGCTCTAGGGTCCTAAAAGTCTTGGACGATGAAGCATTATTCCGGATACCACTAGCACTCCTTCCATTTGAATCAATATGGAGGTAAACTTCAAAGTATTCTTGCTGATATGGGTTTAGTTCTATTGTAGCATTGCCTTGAAAATTCAGACTTATTCTTCCGTCAAAATCTGAAATTACATAAAAGGAAAAGCTGCTGATGGAGAAATATTTAGAGTACCTTAAAAACAGAATAGAAGAATTGGGGAAAAATGTGTGCAAAGAACTTCGAATAATACCGAATCAACCTAAGTAACAAAGCTAAATCTTTGAAATCGTTAAAGCTAAGCAGCAAATGCTGCAAAATATAAACCTGACTAAGCTCTATAAACTTTTGGATTATTGACTAATGGAAAACTAGGTTTGAGATATTTATTGCTGGTATTTTGGCTAGAAATGGAGTCAGTTAGATCATCTACTGAGTTTTTACCATCGTTTTTCAGAGTACAACTATGGTTATAGTAAAATATTGTCTTTATCTATGTAATAATAATATTATAGGTTATTTTTATATATATGAAGCCTAAGGGATTCGATCTCTTAAACAAAGTTAATCCAATCCATCATGCTAATGAATGTTATTGTGCCAGATCTTGTAGATTAGCTTTAAAAATTATTTTTCCTATATGCTATGCAATCCAATAGATATTTAACAATGGACGATTTCAAAAAAATTATGCTTCTGAACCTAAGTGATAATAACTAAGATATCCAAATAATTTATCGAATAATTTGCACAAGATAATAGTTAAGTAAATTTGTTAATTAAATATTCGGAAGATAAAATACCCTACGCTGCTCAAATACAACTTATTTTAATCATTCTCTAAAATATACATGTAAAAACATATATATGTATATATGAAATTCAACAATTGATTTATCACTAGTATTTAAGCACATATATTTATATATATATCCATATTTCTTAAGATCTTTGGTATATTATAATGATGCATTAATTATTCTACGTTTATTTACTAGCAATCATATGTACAATATTTCTTTCTTTATATTTTACTAGAGACGGCAATAAAGCACTTAATTAGATAGTTAGGATTAATAAGAGGAACTTTTTTGTTGAAGTAACTCTATGCATTACACATGCTTAGATATATTAAGCGGTTTACTAATTTAGAATACAGTTTGTTTTATTAAATATTAAACTAAGTAAATTCTTGCGCCACTCTAAATGTTTTTATCGACTGCCTTTTAGGACTTGTGGTGCAAGAACATAATCAAGGAGTAATTATAATATCAGCCTCTCTGTATGTAAGTTATCACGTAACAAATTAGAGATTTCTTCATTTTTTGTCCTACGATAATAGATATTGTGAGGAAATTTTTCAGAAAAGCCTACCCTTTCTATGGCAGCTTGGTCCAGCGCCCCCGAAGAATGCTGGTAGGCAAGTACAGCATACATTTTTGTTCACCATATGACATTCAGAATTTTCCTTGTGAAGACATTGCTGCCTTAAATTTTCCGGACACAAGCTAGACTCCTCATTTAAGATATCCTGAGGATTAGAATAGACTAGAGGCAGGATAGCAACTGGGCCACTTGCTGATGAGGCTACCTCTCTCGAAACTTGATTCCGTGCAAGGAAAAACAGAGCAATTGAAGTAGCAAAAATAAACAACTCAGTATTTTATACCGTAATTTATTTAAGTGAAATCAACTAACAAAATTATTTTAATTCAATTTTTTAATTAAATAATAATATGCTACCGTTGTACAATATAGTGGTTCTTCTATAAATTATTATCCATGGGTATTCAAGTTATAGGCTAGCTTAGGTGTAATCCCTCTGCCACAGTTCTGAAGTTTATAGAGGGTGATTTGATAGAGTTTCTTATAAGGAAATGTGATCAGTAAACTATGAAAAATGTGGAAGGGTCATTCAAAATGAATGCTAATTATTGATTTTAAAAATATCCAGGGTATTTCATTTAAGTTAAAAAGATGGTAATCCAAAATTCCATAAAGCAAAGGAAATGTATATCCTTCCATATATGCCAGATCCTTCATCAGACTATGAGATAATTGCAGAAAGTTTTACATATCAGCTATGTATTTCAGCCTTAATCTAGCTATAATGAAGATTTTGATGGCGATATTAAATAAGATTTTGATATTACTGTTCTTGGTGCAATATTCTTCGTTAGAGATTTCTTTTTGCTAAAAGATTCTCTGTCACGCAGTTGCATAAAAGTTTACATTATATTAAAGCTAAATAATTTGGCATAAGCCACTTAGCTTAGGTTCCCAATAGTTAGTCTCAGAAGTATAACTCCTCCCGTATAAGAAATCTTTTTTGTAAGTAAGTGAAAGTAAATCTCAACAAGAGGCTTTCTCCACTATCTATGGAAATCATGTCAGATCTTAGATAAAAAATTAATATCTTATTAATTATCAAGCACCCTTCCAGATTTTGAAAAGTAAGATATGCTAACATTTTCAGATGTATAAGGCTCTCTACTAGATTGTCATAAGGAGAAGTAAACATTAGACTAGCCTAAATACGCTAATAAATCCATATAAATCTCATCATAGAGTTAAATTTACGTTCTTTGTTAATCCTTGAAAATAGTAGGCTCTTACCAAGATCACACCTTCTAACACCGTCGCCACGATAACCAGGGGCACAGAGGCAATAGCTTCTTTCCGGATCTACACAATTTGCAGCTGAATGACAAGTGATGGAGCCACAAGGCGCTAATACAATTAAATACATATAATTTTGTGCAATTAGGATGGTTTTTATTAATTCATTGCTCTCCTAGTATTTATATACAAAATATCAAACGCTATTAAAGTTTTAAATTCACAATTTAAATTTTTGATAGAAAATATTTAGCTTTCATGCTAACATTTAAACAAAAAAAATGTATTTGAGGGAAAGTGAAATGGACTAATTTACTCTGTAATCAATTTAATAATCCTTAACGTCTTTTAAGATCAAATAAAAGATTTCTAATTAAAGCTTTATCTCAATTGATCGCTAAGAGGGATTAGCTATCACTCAACTATTGTGTGGCTGAAAGATTTTATAGTGTCAGAAATGAGATGGACAGCACCATTTAAAATTCCGAAAATTATTTATAATTATTTATAATTATTTAAATGGTTTCGATAAAACTTCATTAGACGTTCGTCTTTCGTGTTTTTGGCTTTTCAAAGCGATTAAATTGATTATTGTATATAGTTAATATGACACTTTGATACTTGTATTAATACTTATCGATCTCGTAATACAAGATCAAAGCTTATCGGAAAACATCATTATTATTATTTTTTCCAAAAGTGTCAAATTAAAATGCTCATTCTTTTTTAATTTTCAGGAATCTGTAGATCGTAGATTCTTCATCATATATTTCCTAGCTATATAATTTCTTTTGCCGCATATCGACGTGCTAAAAAACTAATTTCTTTTTAGCCTATTCTTAAGCAAAAAATAAAAAGTTTTTTAAGAAACCCTGTAAGTAGCCTGTATTTATAATGGAGTTTTTAATTTTCGTAAAGTAATTCTTGTTGAAAAGCTCTTATGCTTAACTTTCTAAGTTCTATTATGTATTGTTCTAACTCATAAATTATACTTTATCTTTAATACCGATAATGTTCTAAATTTCATTAAATCTGTCTATTTATTTACTTTGATAATTTTTCAAGGTGTGAAGCCCAAGCTTGGGTGGCCTTTACTCTGGTCACGGTCTTCTTTACTGTACATAAAGTGTTTGACCTCGTTATTGTAACTTGACTATATTTTAGGAGAAAATTAAGTCAACGCAACCTGTGCCGAGTCTTTTTACGTAGTATCCATGAGAATATCCGGTATTAGGCCATGGACTGTGGATATTATAACAGAGAACTCCGGAAAAGTTGCGTAATCGTGGTCAAACGTCTTTTAATTAGCTATATTTAGCCTTAATCTAAATTTTCTGTGATAATTATATATATACTTCCATACA